TTAAACAGGTAGCAGATCGCATGAACAGCAGACAATCAGGTAATTGAGTAATTTGGAGACAAGTTGCAGAGAGTTACACTTAGCTCACTGATCTTTCTTTCTTTTTGCAGGTTATGAAGGAGCACACAGATAAGTTGGGGAACTTTGCTCAAAGGGAGCCTGTAGCAGAAAGAAAGTGAGCATGCAGGTAAGTATGAGTCAGGCATGATCATTCTCACATGGATCAATGAGACCAGTCATGCAGCCAACAGGGGTGTGTGGCTGGTGAGTATATGTAGAGAGGTAATCAAGTGGAGACAGGTGCGACTGGTTAGAATCCGGGTGATTGTGAGCGGATGGGTGGAGCTGAAGGACCTGGTGCTCTAAGATGTGTTGGTGGACTCCATGACAGAGTCAAAGAATTCTAAAGAAAAAATATCACGGTTTCCACAAAATATTAGGCAACATATCATATTATCTAATATTAAAGCTGGAATAGGGAGTTTTGAGAAAACGTTGACTTAGCCTGAAAATTTGAACAAGCACAACTTACAGGTCCCACCCCCTTGCTCTCTGCTGCGCTACAGCCCTCCCTCCACAGCTCCTCCCCCACAGCAGAGCCTGTCGTGAACGCGCAGGCCAGTAAGCAGGGCCACCGATGATGGCGGATAACCAGTTATGGCACATTCACTAGTAGGGACGAAACATCAACAATATGCTTTACATTGACTAAGGCCTGCCCATACTTTGACTACAAACGTGGTCCTCAAATCATTACGTATTTTGCAATACATGTAATGTAACTTTGTAACGTTGCACCCTTTCCATAAGTTATAAATACACTGTTAACTTTCGCTGTAGATTTAACAGCACAGTACTGTAAAAACCTACAGTACAATACTGCATTTCTATATTACAGTAAAATACCGTAATTTGCATTGCATTCTGGGTAATTTTGTTTGAGCGGGAACATTTTACAGTACATTTTAGTGTTGCTGTAACCTAGCTGTAACCTGGTTGTAACATGCCAGGCAAATATACAGGGTTGCTGTAAACAGAGAGCGCGCGCGCCGCCTGAGTGACGTCAGAGCACAACTGCGGCAGTTCACTCACTCAGCGCAGATATCTCACTCTGCGGATATCTGGAAATTTGGTAAGTTAATTTTGAATTTTATAATAAGGTTTTAGGATTTTACGCTATAGTGTGTAGCCTACATAGCTTTTAATGTGAAATGACAGTGGAAGTTTAGCCAGCGACGGTTGCAAAAACACTGTTAAGTTTGTTAACGTTATCTGCTCTTTCACCCCGCTGCTTGTCCTGACATTTTCAAATTTAACGTTATAACTCCGTGAATTAACATTACCTTACGGTTTATTTCGACCAAAACAGATTTGGTGATTGTTGGAACGGTGGAAAGACAAATCGAGATGGTCTTTTGTGAGTTTTATTTTGTTTTTGTCGAGTTTTAATTAAATGTGTTTTACGATGGTCTGCGAGATAAAATTACTGCATTTGACATGTTAGTCTAACTGTTAGTCCTATCTATGTAGGGAACACCCGAGCCTGTCAGTGGTAAAAACAAGCACTTATAAAAGACATAACGTTACATTTTGATCAAACTGCTATATTTGCAGTCCGTTTCCCGAATGACGAACTTGATGATTTTATGATCAATACTGGACCAAATTGAAGTCGTTTAGACACAAAATAAGACGCGTGAAAATAAGGCTTAAAAATACTGCACTTTCCTTTGCAACGCAAAATGGGTGATTTATTTGGGCTTAGAGAGAGGGGATCATATCAGAGTTAATGATCTATTAGGCAACAAAGACAAGTAAACTGCATGCCAAAAAATCAAGTTAGAATATTTAGAGTGGTCAAGTGAAGCTTATGTTTTATTAACCTAACTTAGATGTATTGTAAGCAGATTTATGAGATATTTCCTTAACAAGAAACACATAACCGTTAACTGAATACTATTTATTTTGATTTCTTACAGCTCTACAGTGTGGGACAATTTGCAGCCTGGGAAGGAGTTTTGTGTAAGTATTAGCCATGTTAATACAATGTTTTAAACTTAAAGTTTTAAAATCTAAAGATTACTTTTTTTTTTTGTGGCTGTTTTTGTTATTTCTACAGAATTTTCTCTCTTCCACTGTCTGTCTGCTCATCTTTGGTGCTGTGGCTAACAGATTTTGTCATGTGTTTTTGTGTGTCATGTCTTTTTCAGTTTTGGTCATCGGTCCAAGGTTCCAGTACCACCTCAAAATCCCAGCCAAGTTTTTAAAGGGATACTCTACTGGTTTTTCATTTTAAACTATGTTATTCCCTTAACTAAGACGAGTTGATACATACCTCTCTCGTCTCAGTGCGTGCACTACATCACTGTCTTGCGGCGAAACTTTGTTAGATCTTATCTCAGCCCTGTTCATTCAATACGTGCCCAGAAGAGAAGCGACCAAACACCTCCACGTTTTCCCTATTTAAATACAGTTACACGAGTAGTGTGACTCGACCTAGGACGATGACACAAAATAAAATGACTCGGCGCAGTAATATCATCTCTCGTGAAAAGACCGCTCCCGCTCTCCCTCTCATTTCAACGGGAGCGGTCTTTTCACGAGAGATGATATTACTGCGCCGAGTCGAAGTGTTCTCAAGCACTTGCTATGGTATTCTGCCATACAATATAGTTATCCATTTTACACGCTTAGAAAAGCGCAACGTTTTATTTTGTGTCACCGTCCTAGGTCGAGTCACACTACTCGTGTAACTGTATTTAAATAGGGAAAACGTGGAGGTGTTTGGTCGCTTCTCTTCTGGGCACGTATTGAATGAACAGGGCTGAGATAAGATCTAACAAAGTTTCAAAGCAAGACAGCGATGTAGTGCAAGCACTGAGACGAGAGAGGTATGTATCAACTCGTCTTAGTTAAGGGAATAACATAGTTTAATATGAAAATCCAGTAGAGTATCCCTTTAAGTATGTCCAGCTACAGCTGCAAGTCATGCAGTTTCTCAACCTCTCTCTTAAATGCGTTCACCATACATGGTTTTAATTGTGTAATTGATCAATATTTTTTTTTTTTTGACAAGAACATTGTTTGGATTGTCTTTTGATTTGCTGTTATTCTGAAGTTGCATTATAATATTATTACCTATAGATTTATATACTGTAATAACTACATATTATATAGTTATAATATCATTAGTAATTTGAAAATTACAATGTTTTGCAATAATGTATCAATATAGATATTACAGTACAATATCGTATAAATTACAACACAAGCAGACAAAAATGACAAAATACAGTAAAAAATACAGTACAATACTGTTTTGTAGTTTACAGTACATTACTGTAAATCGAAATACAGTACCTTGCTGGCAACCTTGCTGCCAGTACTGTACTGTACAAATACAAGAAAATTGTTAACAGTGTAGCTAGTAAGATAATATAACGGTAACTAACGTAACATATATGATATTATTCAAGTAATTATTATACCGATATGTAGGCCTAATGCTAGATAAGGTTTGCTAGTACATTTATAACGGGGTTCAGTTGTTATGTGAAGAAGGAGGCGGGAACCGGCGAACGTTGAACAAGTTTAATAATAAATAAACAAATACAAAATGAAAGTCACACAAGTGTCGTTCATTATCACTCACGCCACCAGCCTCGCGCCGCTCTCATGTCCCTGTCCCTCGGCCTCATCCTGCTCGCCACAATATTATTTCAGCAACATGACAAGCCAGTGAATTAGCAGGTTTCAATTGTTGCTTTGCACAGTGCGTAACATTTTATCTGCATGTCACGCGGCTAGAGTTTTGACACCGAGTCAATGGGCTCTGTCTAATTCTTTCTTTTTCGCTTGTTTATCGTCATCAGTTTTTTTCCTTTTACCTGTCTTTGTTTTATGAGCAGGTGCCACTCGAGAAATTGGCAGTTTAGGTTGTTTCTCCGCCATTAGCACAGCTGCAGCACACCCTCAATCTTGAGTTTGGTTTGAACGACAGTACGCGCTGTGCAAGAGAGGGGTGTGATCAGCACGTACACGAGCGTGATTGACACTGCTAAGACATTCCTTCTGACTCTGATTGGTTGTTTCTGACCGGGAGCGGTGTATTTCTGCAAATGGCAATAGGACCACTGGGAGGAGCCAGAGGAGCTTGATTTTTTCACATTTCATTATCTGTCTCATATTCTACTGTCAGGACATAATGACAGTTTTAACAAATATGTAAAAAATATTTTATTTTTATAAGAGACATCTCAAAAATGTTCTTCAAAAACCAAACCAAACTTTTGAATGGTAGTTGACCAGAATTGCAAAGAGTTTGCTCTAGCAGTAGAATATTTGGTAAAATAGGTTATATTATTAATTGTTGCACAATGACAAAAGCAAGTTATGTGTTTCTCATTGTTTGATAGAAAAGTTTAGATTAAAACTGGTCCTTTAATGGAATGGTTCTCAACTAGTGGATTATACTTTTTATTAATCAATTTCAGTGTTGTATGAACATTATTCTGCTCTTGCTTTGACAGGTTAGCGTAGCAGATAGCTAACATCAGATCCATGAAATAAAGACCCAGGAAACCGGAGTAGAGAGAGGCCTTTAGTAAGGATCTTTCCAATTTTGTAAAACTGTGAAAACATAATAATATGACTGTCGTGTCTTTCCCTTCTTATAAAGACAGAGGACACTAATGAAGAGTCAGAAACATAAATTCAGGAACAAAAGAACTTGCTTCTCTTTAATGCTCACTTTGCTTATATCTGCCGCATTCACTTCGTCATCATCACATGACTCCACCCATTACTTATGTCTTAAAGTAACAACGCTTTATACATAACACTCCTTCCCCCCAAAACAGAATGTCCTCTTTTTGTTTTCCTTTTTTTTTTTTTTAGGAACAAATGTCAACACAAGGACATCTTCAGTCAATTACTGAACTTAAATAAAGAACTTAAGCTATGAGATTTCAAAGTCACTCATTTTCTTTTTTTCTGTTTCACTATAAATCAAGTCTTTTAGGTGGACGTCTTTCCCTAGTGGAATAACGGCGTTCTGCGTTTGACATGGGCTCTGAAACAGATATGTTGGATCCTGAGTCTGGTTGTTTTTCCAAGCTTTGCATTTGCGGAAAGTTTTCAGTCTCAGGTCCTTTTTCTGGTGTAAGTGGGGTGTCCACAGTCACTTCTGGAACCATTGGATAGTCCGAACAAACAGTAGGTGTGACAACAGCAGACTCCACCTCAGTAGAAGATCCCAGCAACAGCTGATCCACGTGTCTTTTCCAGGTAAGCTTGTCAGATGTTAGTACAGTGTATGACACTGGGCCGGTTTGAGCTATCACTGTCGCTGGTACCCACTTTGGTCCTGAAGTATAGTTGCGTGCCAGAACATTTTGTCCAGGATGGAACAGTCTGCTTTTAGCCTTCATGTCTCTCCTGTGAACTTGCTTCTGTTGCTGATGAGTTACCACCTCTTTGACAGTAGAAGGTCTGAGTAAGTCAAATCCAGAGCGCAGTGGACGTTTCAACATCAGAGAAGCTGGAGAAACCTTTGTTGTCCCATGGCTGGTGTTTCGGTATGACAACAGGAAATCATTCAGACGCTGCTGAAGGCTCCCTTGTCCTTGTGATGTCTTTAAGGCGTGTTTGATGGTTTGAACCATTCTCTCTGCGAGACCATTCGTGGCTGGGTGGTACGGAGCTGATTTAATGTGTTGTACCCCACATCGTTGTAAAAACACAGCAAATTCTTGTGATGTAAACTGCGGCCCATTGTCACTGACGAGCTGTTCAGGGTAGCCAAAGCGGCCAAATATTTCTCCAAGTTTCACTACTGTTTTCTCTGCAGTCGTAGATTGCATAACAACAACTTCAGGCCACTTGCTGTGGGCATCCACCGTTATTAACAACATCTTTCCTTCGACTGGACCAGCAAAATCCACATGTACACGCTGCCAAGGGATTTCTGGCCAGTCCCACGGGTGTAATGGGGCCAATTGAGGTTCATTTCTCACTTGCTGGCAGGACGGACATGACTTTGCTTTTCCTTCAATGTCCATCTCCAGACCTGGCCACCAAAAATAACTCCGAGCTATTTCCTTCATTCGCACAATACCACAATGGCCTACATGGAGCTGCTGGAGGACTGGTTTTCTCAACGATGGGGGAATGATGACTCTTTGTCCCCAGAGAAGACATCCTGAATGAAATGACAGTTCATCCTTTCTAGACAGGTATGGCTTCAAGTTGGTGGTGTCCTTAGGCACGTGTCCATCTTTTACCATCTCCATGACTGCAGACAGAATTGGATCATTTCTTGTGGATCTTCTCACCTGTGTGGAGGTCACCGGAGCCATTGTGACTTGCTCAAAGTAGAAAATATCTTTCTGCTTGCTCTCGGGACAAGTCACGGGTAATGGTAGTCTTGATAAACCATCTGCGTTTCCGTGTTGCTCTGCCTTCCTATATCTTATTTCATATGTGTGTGCTGATAACAGCAGAGCCCATCTCTGCATTCGGCTTGCTGCCAGCGAGGGAATACCTGTGTGTGGCCCAAGAATGGTGGTTAAAGGCCGGTGATCAGTTAGCAGTATAAACTGCCTGCCATACAGATACTGGTGAAATTTTCTAACACCAAAAATTATTCCCAAAGCTTCTCGCTCAATTTGCGCATACTTGCTCTCTGCTTTGTTCAGCGTGCGTGAGGCAAATGCTATTGGCCTTTCTTCTCCTGAAGGCATGATGTGGGAAATCACAGCTCCCACCCCATAAGGTGACGCATCACAGGCTAACTGCAGGGGGAGCTTTGGGTTAAAATGGGTTAGCACACCGGACTTCACCATAGCTTTCTTAGCTTCTTGAAAAGTGGTCTCACATTGCTGTGTCCATTCCCATGACTGGTTACTACACAGAAGTTGGTGTAGTGGTTTCAACAGTGTGGCTAATCCACTGATGAATCGTCCATAGTAATTCAGAAGACCAATGAACGAGCGGAGCTGGGTGGTATTCTGCGGTGCTGGAGCCTCTAGTATGGCTCTTACTTTTGAAGGTGCCTTGTGCAGTCCATCAGCATCGATCACATGACCAAGATATTCAACTGACTGTTTGAAAAACTCACATTTGTCTTTCCTCACTCTTAAACCATATTCCTTTAGGCGCTGGAGTGTACCATCCAGATTACTCAGATGCTCTGCTTCGGTTTTTCCTGTTACCAAGATGTCATCTAAATAGCACTGCACCCCCGACAGGCCACTTAACACCTGGTCCATGGCCCTCTGGAAAAGCGAAGGGGCCGATGTGATACCAAAGGGAAGACGCTGGTATCTGAAAAGCCCCTTGTGTGTGACAATTGTCAGTAACTCCTTAGAATTCTCATCGACTTTCATTTGTAGGTAGGCTTGACTTAAATCAAGTTTGCTGAACCGCTTCCCCCCTGCCAAGCCAGCAAACAGATCATCAATGAGGGGAAGTGGATACTGGTCAGGAGACAGTAAAGGGTTTACTGTGACTTTAAAATCACCACAAATTCGAATGGAACCATCCTTTTTAAGTACGGGTACAATAGGCGTAGCCCATTCACTGTTACTCACTGGTATGATGACTCCACTGGTTACCAAATCTTCCAGAGCGGTCTCAACTTTTGATCTGATAGCATATGGCACAGAACGGGCTTTGCAACACTTGGCCTTACTATCAGGCTTAATGTCGAGCCTGGCTGTAATGTCTTTCATCGTACCCAGTTCATCCTTGAAAATATCAGTATGTTTTTCTAGAACATCCCTGAGCTCTGAGTTTCCCTTTGACACCATCCGCACCGTCGGCCAGTCCAGTTTAATAGTTTCCAGCCATTCTCGACCAAGTAAAGCTGGGTAGTTCCCTTTTACCACATACAGTGGCAGCGTTGCTGATTGACCATTTAATTCCACTTCCACATCCATTACCCCTCTAATAGTCACAGGCTCCCCCGTATATATTTTCAACACTATCTTGGATGGCTTTAAGTAGACATGTTTTAGGGTTTTGTGGTACACAGCATCTGACACGATAGAAACAGCAGCGCCAGTGTCTATCTCCATACACACCGGCTCTCCCTCAATGATAGGTGTCACCAAATAGCCTTTGGAGTCTCCTTCCATAGCTAGAATATTCAAAGGAACTTCCTCTGCGGAGGAATTGGTGTCATCTGTGTACTTGCAATTTGACTGCATTGTATACACATTCCTCTTGTTCTTTGATGTGCCAGGTGTTTTGCTGAATTTTTGTTTTGCAACCTTTTGTTTTCCTCTGCAAGCACGTTCTATGTGGCCTTTTTTTCCACAACTACGACACACCAACTCTTTACTCCAACACTCAGATGCAAGATGTCCGACTTTGCCACATCTAAAACATGTTGCATTTGTAGGTGCTTTGCCAGGGGAATTCTGGACTGTGCTCATGTCAGCAGACAATTTATGGACTTTATCTGAGCTACTGAAATGCTGTGCTTCTTTAGCAGCAAGTTCCATGCCTACACTTATTTCAGTGGCTTTTTGCAATGTGAGATTACTTTCACTTAACAGCCTTTTTTGAATGGCTTCGCTTCTTAATCCACAAACGAGCCTATCCCTGATGGTATCATTCAAAACATCGCCGAATTCACAGTGTTCTGAAAGTTTCTTCAGTGCAGCCACAAAAATAGTAACAGTTTCTCCCTCTTCCTGATTTCTCTTGTGAAACCGAAATCGTTCCGCTATCACCAGCGGTTTAGGTGAAAAATGTGCGCTCAACACTGCCACAATCTCAGCATAAGTTTTCTCACCTGGTTTTCTAGGCTGTACGAGACTGCGTAGCAAAGTGAAAGTCTTTGCACCCATCACACTGAGGAACGTAGGCACAATCTTCTCACCCTCAATGGCGTTTGCCTGCAGAAAATATTCAAATCGCTCCGTGTATGAGCTCCATTGTTCAACATTTTCGTCGAATTGTCCGATATTTCCTATGACGCCAGCCATCACGTCTTTATCAATTCACAGGCACCGAGCTCGCGTCTCGTTCAGCTGTTTTCTGCACTTCACTACACTTGTATTCGGCAATTCAAACACGCAGAGGTTCTTTCAAACATCCTCGTCGCCACTTTGTCGTGTCTTTCCCTTCTTATAAAGACAGAGGACACTAATGAAGAGTCAGAAACATAAATTCAGGAACAAAAGAACTTGCTTCTCTTTAATGCTCACTTTGCTTATATCTGCCGCATTCACTTCGTCATCATCACATGACTCCACCCATTACTTATGTCTTAAAGTAACAACGCTTTATACATAACAATGACATTACAAACTGCCCATTTACATGAATATGCAACTCAAGTCTAACATATCAATCCCATAAGAAAAATTAGCCATTATAATGAGACTTGCAGGACTAGTAAGCATTTAAGCTAACATTAATATGGATGTCTATGGAGAAATGCTAATCACGATTACCATCTATTAATACAACATATTTTGCTAAAACAGACAATACACAAAGACTATAGCAAAGTAGATATACTTCCTAAAGAAATACTTACAGACTTAGACCTTCAAAAACTACCAAAGGCAAAGAGAAAAGAGTAACTGCTGCATGACCTCTCAGTAGACCAGAGTCAGAAGCAAACAGGAAAACAACGGCAAGAGAGGAGGGACTAAAAAGAAAGCTAATGCATTACAACTTTACACCACTAGATGTCTCTAATGCAACACAAAGTGGGGGCAGAACAAACATTTTTGTTTGCACAATAAACAGCAAAGGTAAACAAAACACTGTGTTGGGTTAAAACACTGCTTCAAGGCAATCCTGGTTTGACATCAACTTAACTCCACTTTGCTCGTAGATTGCTTAAAGAGCTTGTACAGCCACTTGGGTTAGTTGACTTTATTAAAATGTGGGTTACAGATGGCCTTTCATTTTAGGTCATGTTTTGCCCAACAAATCTTGCGGTGTGAAGTTCAGTGAACACTGATTATTTTATTTTTAATTTCTTTGAAGACTATGATAGGATATTGACTGCAATATTTTGCAGATATTGCAAAATTCCAAGACAAGTGAGTGATTAAAGTCCTACTGCTTTGCTGACGTAGAATGAAGGAATAGTTTGTAATTTGCTCACTATAAATTTCCTGGCTTAAAGCCCTATGTTTTCATGAAACACAAGGCCGGAGGGGAGGTTTGTGTCTGTAACTTTCCATAACCAAAAAGCACATTAAATGATAATGGATCCATAAGTAACCTGTATGATTCATGTGTTCATTAATTCAAGTATTTAAGTTGTTTCACTGTGTGTGAGAAAAACTGCCCATAACTGCTGGTCTAGGATCGGTTTTCTAAATAATAATAGCATATTGGCAAAACGGATTTGGTGTTTGAGAGCGTGAAAGTTTTCTATTGACAACGTGTTTTGCAGCTTTGAGCAGTATCACAAACATATCCGTTGATTTTTTTTAACGTAATGGCCAATCAGACGTGTTTAACCCTCTGGGGTCTGAGGTGTTTTTGGGGCCATTTGGATGTTCTGTGATGCCCTTACATTTGTGCTTTTTTCAGTTATTTATAAACATGTTAATGGCAAAGGTGTAAATTCACTCTATATAGCACAAACAGGGCTACCATAATCTGTGAGCAACTTGTATGTACATTGTTTGTATTTTTAAGAGAATATTGTTTATGCGTGGTTATTGAAAAAAATTAAAATGAAAGCTGCTGAAATAAGACCACAAAACAAATACTAAATATGTGTCCACAAGACTTTTGACAAATGGATGTTGACGCTTCGAGTTCTGGCTTCAAAATGATCTGAAAATCATCCTTCCTAATCATTCACATAAACCAATAGATTGTTTTAAATTGTGAAAAACATTTTTTTGTTTGCCAAGGCAATATGCAGATGGGCGGAACGGCCCAACCCCTATCATGAATATTAAGTGGTTCTCAGACAGTGACCCTACATAATAATGAGCCTTTCATTCAGGGGTGTCACACAAGAAATAATGCAAGGACAATATATATATATATATATATATATTGTCATTGCATTCTTTCTTGTATATATATAGCCTAAATATATATATATATATATATATATACACACACACACACACACACATATATATATATATATATATATATATATATATATATATATATATATATATATATATATATATATACAAACAATCAAAATATAAATGAAAGCCAAAAGCACATTTTTAGTCATACCTGGAAACAAATTCTAGTCAAATGCTATATGGGCCATTCTACAGAATCTTGAAAAGAAAATAGTCTTTTTCCATAAATGTCTTATAAAGTATTATTTTTTAAAGTAGACCAATACAATAAAAATAAACCAGTCGCATTTCAAAGTCGTTCGCGAAATGACCGCCAGGTGGCGCAAAGGGACATTTATCAAAACGTAAGTGGGGCTAATGTCAATTAACAGTAAGGATGAAATTCTACAAGTTATGGTAATTTGCAAATAAGCCTACAACAAACATTTATTTTTAAACAAATATTTTTAAATATGCAACATGCACGTTTAAACAACAAACAATACAATCTGAACCAGCGCTTCTGCTCCTGTATTGAGACATGCAGCGCGTTGCAGTTACGATCCGGGTTCCAGTGGCCTTAATACATTCACGGCTTTTTAAAATGTCACAAAGCGTTTTGAGATGGTTTTGAATGAAATATTGAAGTTTATAATTAGGGTATTTTGGCACACCACGCCGAGTGGCTATGCATTATTCTAAAATCTGGCTTTATTCTGGCATGTTGAATTAGAGTTTGACAAACGCGGCGGCGCGTTCATTTGAATTTATTTTTCTCATAACAGCTAAAAGAACTTACTGCGTAATTGTTGGTCATACAGATAAGATATCATCTTTTAAAACTGTAAAAGGTCTACTTTTATTCATGTAGGCTAAAGTAGGCCTACACTCACAGGCTAACGACAAAACGTTTTCTCGCTCATGACAAACAAACGTTTGGGCATTTCTCAGTGAGAAAATTCATAGCCGAGTGGTAGAACTTACGGTTCGATCATCAAGATGACACGGGTTCAAATCCCGAACAAACATGGTCTATTGTAAATTTTATATTTATTAATGCAGAGAGATTTGTGTAGCTCTAAAACTCTGGTACACCATACAGTTTTTTGCTTATATTTATAAAATAAAATTACCATGCATTTCCATTTTACACTAAGGAACAATAGTATCCAACAGAACGACTTTGCATCTGTACCAATCGTATGAGGCCAATCGTAATTTCAAAAGCAGTTCTGTAAAAAAAGTAATTTTATATATATAGCCAATATATATATATATATATTTTATTAGGCCTATTATTATTATTTTTTTTGATTCCCTACAACCTAGAGTTTTTAAAAACATGGTTTTAAGTAAAGTGTGATTTGCCAGGGGGACGGGGATTTCCTTCTGGTCTAAACATCCCTGCTTCTGCTGAATTATTTGAATCCCCACACCCCTCCCTCCACAGTAATCAATGCTATAGGCTACTTCACCAATAGACCATATCAAATATAAAATAGAGATATGCAACAGAACAAGCACGTTTAAACAACGATAAACAATAAAATCAAAACCAGCGTTTCAGTTGTCCATAGTTCAAGTGGCCTTAATGCATGCACGGCTTTTCAAAATTTCACAAAGCGTTTTGAGATTATTTTGAATGAAATATTGAAGTTTATAATTAAGTGTTTTGGCAGACCACGCCGAGTGGCCCTATGCATTTTTCTAAAATCGGGTTTTATTCGAACTTTTGCTAACGACAAAAGTTTATCTGTCGTCTCTGTCTCCGGGAACTGCGCGTCACAAAAATGAACCGAAAGCCACTTCAGCTCAGTCACTATAAGAAATCGGCTCTGTCTAATGCCTTTAAATGTCTAAATATTCAGGCTAATAAATGTTATCTGATTATGTAATCCATATGAAAACGAGAGGTACAGAGGATCTACTCAAACATGTAGCCTATGTAAGCGCTTCCCAATGAGAAAATGACAAGGGTGAAAATCTCGCTCTAATGAAATGTAGCAGGCTAAATCGCCCTGAATTAAAATGTAAAAACAGATCAAATAATGTATTTGTCGAAATGTTGCGATATTGTTTCATTTAAGTTCATAATTATTCTATAGGCCTACATGTTATTTAATTTAGCAGCATTACCACGAAGCACCGTGGTTCGATATTTATTTGAATAATAAAAAAAATAATAAAAACTTAATTCACAAATTGCATGCCTGGTTGAAAGGATCCAAAGATCCCTGTAGAATTTAATATTAAGTTGAACATTTTGTTCATGACAACAAATGAACATGCGTTTTTTCAGATTATATTTAGTTTTGCTTGGAAAAAGCTGGCCCAAACCAGTTTTATTTCATCAATTATTGAAATAATGAAATATTTAGTAATAAACTTTTATGACAGAAATTTCACTAGGCTACATGTAACTTAAATCATTTAATTCCTTCATTATCAACACTGTCTAGAATAGCGATTTAAGTGTGAATTACGACTTCTCTTTGTGTTAAATCAGCCTCAGACTCCGATAGCCTGTGGGGGGTTGGGGGACAGTTCAGTGCTGTGCGCGCAGGACAATAGGCCTAGGTGTTAATGTTCCTCTTTCATATGGAGAGCGAGGGAGACTAAATAAACTTGTTAAAAAGAGATTCAGCGCGAGAGAGGCAAAGAAAAACGCATGTTTTAATTTAATTATGTTGCTTTGGACAATTTTCGTTTTGTAGGCCTACTGTTTTAATTGTTTAATGTCATTTATTTGGCAATACAAATTTAAAATGTCGCAAGAATAATATTAGCCTAGTGTTTCTTATTTTGCATCGCAAAAGAAATAAACTCTAAACCCGATGCAACCCTGTTTTAAATAAAAAAAAACACTTTATTTAAACCTTGAAATGTTCGAACTTGGTTTCAAACTTAAG